AATACCTGCATGTTACGACTCCCTGCTGGCGACTCCTGAATGTGTGAGGCTTGGACGGAAGTCAGATTAGCTTGTAAGCAAGTCAGGAACCACAGAGGGCATGCCCTGGTTCCAAGTCACCGTAAGTGGTTGATGCCGCTGTACGTCGGCAAGTACAGTGGAACCTGACTATAACGACCGCTGAAGGGATCTTCAAAACGTGGTCTCTGCAACCATGTGGTCCCTTTACCCAGGGTCATTTGACTGGAAATAGCCTCCCCATGTTCCTGGTTGCAGTGGTCTTTTGGGATAGGTGGTCGCTTTATCCGAGTGGTCGCCTTGGCAGGTTTTGCTGTAGCTGGCTGTGTGTACAGTTAGTCTATGAGAGCTGGAATTTAAAAACCAAACAACTAGTATGGCCATGGGCGCACCAGTGGTACCAGTGGCGCCGTCCCTGCATCACGGTCTCTTCAGTGGTACCAGTGGCGCCGTCCCTGCATCACGGTCTCTTCAGTCGTACCAGTGGCGCCGTCCCTGCATCACGGTCTCTTCAGTCGTACCAGTGGCGCCGTCCCTGCATCACGGTCTCTTCAGTCGTACCGGTGGCGCCGTCCCTGCATCACGGTCTCTTCAGTCGTACCAGTGGCGCCGTCCCTGCATCACGGTCTCCGAGCGGCTTCAGTCGTACCAGTGGCGCCGTCCCTGTATCACGGTCTCTTCAGTGAGCAACTTCTAGGGCATTTTCATTATGGGCTACTTTTAAAGCTTACTAGTACTTGCCATCACCTTGTCTGGCTGTCGAAGCTGTTACGCGGAGCTTAGGTTGGTTGATGTCATCTGCTTGTTTTAGGCGGTCGGAGAATTGACACAGCGATAACATATCACGATCAAACCGGCATTGGGAGGGCTATTCGGCACAGCAGAGTGCCAAGAGAGGAGGTGTTCATTACGTCCAAAGTCGGCCCAGGCCTTCCACTGGGTTATCAGGATATCCTGGACCAGACGCAGGTAAGACAATTCTAGAACGACTGTACTGAGGAAATAATGCGTCCTGCATAGTCTTGATTCACATACTCATACATGTACTTCTTTTTGAAGTAGTATCTAATTCCTATAGGCAGTTTCTTTTTCCCTACAATTAAACAAGCAATCCCTAAATATAGTCTTACATCATGCATCCTGAAAGCACTCGATGATAAACCACCAACTGCTACACACTGCACTAAACTGAAGAAACTTTCAAGAATCACCTTTTCATGCATGTTGTAGCATGGCCCTAGTTGCGCATCGGAGCTTCAAGCTTCGATATAACAGTGTATTGCCTATGACGTCATACATATCCAACCGGAACTTCACAGCATGAAAAAATAAAATCACGCAACCACATCACTACAGTTGCCTTTTTTATTTCCGCTCGACACGAAGTGATTTAGAAAATCTGAGTTCTTCTTCTTTGCGATTAGAGATGGATGAAAACTCAATCCTGCATGCAAGCTGTTTCATCAGCCGTTATGAATCTCCTTGCTCCGATCAATGATCGTCTACGTGCTTTGGAAGCGATAGCGGAATGTAGAAGGGATCTGGCGCGGTCCAATGGATCGGAGCCAAAACTTTCCAGGCTGAGTGCATGCACTCAACCCCGGGAAATCGCCAGTTCCTTGGGCAGGCCCAAGTCTGGTTTGTCAGGTGGAAGTTTGTTGCCTCCACCTAGCTCCAAGAGTGGGCAGGCCTGCTCGAGTGATGCTGATTTGAACAATACAAGGACACTCGAGCTCCTCCGGTGTCGAGCGACATCAAGTCTGGCTCTGGAGGGCCGTCAGCGGGTGAACGCCAGTTTTTCCGAGGTACTGGGGTCAGCAGGTAATGCGGTGGCTCCCGGTACGAGCCTTACACCAGCCCGTACAATCAGACTCAATATAGCCGAGCCGGCCGTGGCTATGCTAACCGAAGCCGGATGCTTCCCCCACCATAGCAACAGGACGGTCAAGGACCGGACACCAGCTACGCAGCATAGCGGCGGTGTGGATGTTAGTGCCAGAGGAGGTCTGGACTGGCGGGTGCTGTTCGCCGTATTGGCTCAAGACTGGGCTTTGCCTCTCTAGCAAGTGTGTTCCGCGCCTTTTCCAGTACCGGAGCTCTGCTCGGTACAACATGTGTGTTGGCGTAGGTTTCGCGCTCCGCATCGTGGCGTACGGCGGACAGCACGAAACCGTCCCTCTTAGAGTCATTCCGGGGGGCCTGGCATCAGCGGCAGCAGTCACTTACAGTTCTCAGCTCCGGGGTTTAGGCTATAGCCTGACCTGCTGCTATCAGGACACTTAGGTGCCTGTCCCGTGACTCAAATGTTATCCATGCATGGGAATGAATATGTTTATCCCACGTGTGTTTTATGTGTCTTGTGCGCTGTGAAGAATACACTGTTATATCGAAGCTTGAAACTCTGATGCGCAGTTTCCCATTTCGCTAGCAACGGTACATTGTGACGGAAAGTGGGAGTTGTGCTAGGAGCTGAGAGCGAGATATAACAGTGTCCCACCCGCCCTCCCATTATGGGTTGGTGGATATTTTGGGAATGATTCATTTTTTCCTGTCACATGTGCGTAGTCTCGCTTCACTAAAAAAGGCAACTGTAGTGATGTGGTTGCGTGATTTTATTTTTCCATGCTGTGAAGTTCCGGTTGTATATTTATGACGTCATAGGCAATACACTGTTATATCTCGCTCTCAGCTCCTAGCACAACTCCCACTTTCCGTCACAATGTACCATTGCTAGCGAAATGGGAAATGGTTGGGCACACAACAACAACCAACAAATCTCACCAGAGCAAGGAGAAGTTACTTGAAGAAATGAAGGATGATCTTTCTTCAGAGAGAGAGCTTTATATATGTGCCAAGACTAAGAGAGTTCAGGTTTCACATAGACACGAGCAACGGTTTAGACCAATCAGGAGACAGAGAGATGGCATAGATTCGGCCAATCAGAAGACATGTAAAGGAAGAAAGTGAAAAAAAGGAAAGCTTCTCAAAAGCATAGGTTCGAACCTCACATGCAAAGAATACTTATCACTGTACAGGTTTCAACACACCAAGCTACAATGACACAGGTACTAGACTACAATGCAACAGGTACAAGATTGAAGAATCTGCATGCTCTACACAGTCACGTGTGACATCGAAATCTCAGCATAACGTTAATTTCCGTGTAGCCGAAGTGGCCTGAGATCATTATGTGTTTGTGGCATCATGCGCAAGTCACAGAATACAAGACTGACGTTACGAGAAGTCTAAAAAGCTAACCTAGAATAGAGAGGGCCAGAACCGGGTCTAAGACCCATACGGTTCAGATGGTCGCAACTGACCGGGGCTCTACCAACCGTGGATGGTTGTAGAAAGGTCACTGTTTCCGAACATTGTGTCCTCCACCTTGTTACATGTGGACCAACAACATGTTTGAACAAACAAGGTTTATCTAATAGTAAGTGAGTGACAACTCCTGTTAGTAGTAGTATGCATAGTTTGTATCAGGTACATGTTTCTCAATATGTGCAGACTCCACTGTAGCCTTCCGTTATAAACACGCTGTGTTATTATTTTGCTGGCTCATTCTGTACACTGCAGACGGTGCTGAAGGAATTGAACACGTCATATGTCGATCTGCTACTGATTCACTGGCCTGGTCCGCCAGGTAACAGCAGTGATGCAGACTGCCGACCACCTCATATCAACTACACGTTGTGCCGGCTGAACTCATGGCGTGCAATGATCAAGGTCCTGCAGATGGGCAGCGCACACGCTATCGGTATTTCCAACTACGAATTCCGCCACGTCGGCGAGCTACTGTTTTCAGGACTCGTCTTCCCAGCGGTGAATCAAGTTGAGTTCCACCCGTACTTTGAGGAGCGGCCCTTGAAGACGTAAGCAGCCTGACGTTGCTATGTACATGTAAAATTAATATCCTTGGCGAGATAGTGAGCTCGGAAGGAAGAATTTTGAAACACAAAACGTTGATAGGAAAATGATCCACTTCCTCTGCGTCATTTAATAAAATTGTCGCTTCCCAGAGCGATTTTTTTCAAATCCATTTTGTCCACTCGAAGCGCGAAGAAATCAGCCAGAACTTGAAGCAGAGCATTGTCGACGGACTAAGCTTGAGTTTGTGGCCTCTCGATTTGCTGCACTTGCGGCTGGGGTCGACGTCTCCATCAGAATTTGAGAAAGACACTTCAGCACTCAACAAGACGCTGAACAAGAAGCGCTTTCAAATTCAGGTCAAAACTTCGTTTTCAAGCGACTCATACCTCCAGGTGGCAGGCGATAACGGCAAACTAGCATTTTAGAAGTGCACCGGAACGACCTTCCAGCGGGATAGGGTAAGCAGTTCCGCAACTTCTTTCCTTGACAAGCGCTTCACTGATTTTGTTGGTCACGGCTTTCAGACCTGCTACCTTCGCAGCAACATGCGCCACAGGTAGTGTTTTTAAGAATTTGAGAACACTTAGTTCTTGCCATCGTGAAATTCAGCAGAAATACCAGGATTCTTATACCGGAGCTTGCAGTCTTGACAAATGTCCACGCGAACGAGGTGGGCCGGCACGAACTCCAGAAAAAAGACACGCGCTCTGGGGTGAAATAGTGCGGAGCGCGATGAATTTGCTTGGTGCGGACGAGAGGTCCGAGACCACCACAGATTCCGTAGCAAATAGACATAGTGTATGAAGGGTCGGAGCAATGTTCGAACACAGAAAACAGCGATTCCGACAGACCGACTAAGACAAGCAAGTCACAAACACTGTGATGTGCGAAGCGACAATTTTAATGACGAGGAGGAAGCATGAGCTATGAAGAGCCTAGCTAGTATTTCTTCTTTCAAAAAGCATGTCTAATCTAACCATCCAAACTGTGTACTACATTAAGTACAAGGCATAGTATAAAGAATAGAGCTCGTGACATAAACACTGCCTCAGCTTCTTTGCTGAAGCCACACAGTGAGGGGTTGCTTTTGGAAAGCGGAAAGAGATGTAAAGGAATGTTTACGACTGTTTCGTTCTGTCGCTCAGGTACTGCAACCAGCATAACATCACCTACAATGGCTACTCGCCATTCGCTGCCAACGACTGGGCGCCGTACTTCCACCATTGGCCGCACTCTCTTCTCAACGACACCATGTTGCAGAAGATTGCCACGGCGCACGGTCGCACGCCTGCCCAGGTTGCACTGCGGTTTCAGGTTCAGCTCGGCCTAGTGGTCAACCCGCGCACGCAGAACTTCGAGCACATGAAGGAGAACGTCAACATCTTTGACTTCGAGTTGAGCCAGGACGACATGACGCAGATAACGTATCTCACACCTCCGTCGGATAATCCGAAAATCTTTCCCGATCCGTACAAAATACCTTGACTGGAAGTATCCGTGAGGGTGACCACTGCTCATGCAGCATTCAATACACGTCCTGCAATGGAAGAGAACACCTACTGACATTATCAATAATATTATTCATCCTGGTAGTGGTAGCTGCCATATTGATGGACTGTGACTTGTAGTGAGAACATTTGAATCCTTCAAAATATTTTCATACCGCTCAGACCTGCTTCACAGATCAAGATGAGCTAGAACTTGTTGTCACATCACTGAATTTCAGTCACAGCAAACCGTATTTTTGAAGCTATCCTGACCTTCTGCCCTTAGTTTTAAGAAAAACCGACGGCTAAACAGTTAACTCTGTAAAGAAAAAAACAGACCATCAATCTGTTACAGCCACACTTCTTCGACCCCTGGCCATTTTGGGGCATACACTCAGACTAGATCTACTTCGAAGTAGATGGTAGACCACTTCTCTAGGTACGGTGCTAGTATGCGTTTACATATACGTCATCATTATAATAAATATTACTAGTTGTACACAAAAGTATTACTAGTAGTATAATTACACAGAGGCAATTGCTTTGGTTCTGCAAGAGTGCTCAATGCCTGATTCAGGCAGAGCGGCGTACACAAAGGCACACAATGAAAAACCTTGGCAAATTTAAAATTCCGTTGTGACTCAGAAACCAATCATCAGACAACGATGTCTGATGATTGGTTCAGCCATGAAACTCTGAGTCACAACGGAATTAATTTGCCAAGGTTTTTCATTGTGTGCCTTTGTGTAGTAGTATAATTATGATGTTATGATAATATTATGCTTTGTATGGAGTTTCAAAGCCACTGGGCACACTAGTGCACATATGCTAGTGCTGGGTTGCCATAGAGGACTAGCACTGTTTGTATGCGTTGTCACTCAACACAGAATCTAGAATCTAAAAATCAGATCTCAATACAAAACAGGACTGGCTCCCAGTGCAAGCTCTCCATGCAAAGCTTTATGCAATGACCTCGTTCACGTAACCTCAACACAGCCTTTCGGCTTTGAGGTCGTCTCTAAAGACAGGTTTCACTCCGTATGAATCTTTCGCAGTGTAGTTCTTCGTTCCACTGCCTTTCATGGCCCATCGCATAGACTAACCCTAGTGTAGTATTTACCATGGACATATTTGCATGACGTCACGGTACGAGTAACCAGTGGCAGTATCGAGTAAACAGGCAAGATCGATCATCGACGGCAGATCTGCTGTGGATTGTACATGAACATGTGGGCCAGTGTAGATCTGCGTGACCAGCCAGTATCACTATCAGTCTCAAGTCAATGAAAGGTTAAGTGATGATGTCAAAAACGGCCAGGGAGTAGTAAGTTTACATCAGATTTCTATTTTGGATCCACAAAAGTGTGACTTTGCTATTGCCTAAGTATGTGGGTGCATAGCAACCCACTCATGTCGTATGCAGGTGTGACTTTAATTTCGCCACCAGTTGTAACCCCGCCCCCATTAGCCAAATCAGTCAGTTTCACTGGCTACATCATATCACCTTGCTGTGGGTAAGACCGCTTGAAATGTGCTTGGATCCATACAAAACTGGATCCAAGTGGATCCAGTTTTGGAATTTTTAATTGTTGCTATGCTGTGACGTAGCACTTTCAAGCCCTATGAACGGACGGCACGTCGGTGATGCACTGATGCCGTAGTGATGGTAGATCTACTGTCCGCGATACCATGGATACCGAGAGGACTAGTAGTGATCATGGTGATGTCTTGTTGAACACGTGGAGTTTGTAGACAACATCACATGTCCAGTTAGTTGGAGTACCTGGCCTGTATCATGAATCATGATTCATGATTGTGTTGACTGTTGTTTCAGACATCTGAGAGCCAGTGAGAGGTCGCAAATGGATGTTCGTGTGGACACATACACGTACACGTGAACTACAAAGTACAATTACTTTTACGAATGATAGGGGGAGAGAAAGAAGGCCCTGTCATAAATCAGATGGGCAACAGAGATACTACTTATACCATTAGGCATTACAAGGCTGTATGCACGTCCAATCTTGTTTAGTGTAGATCTGCACGTACTATCGAACTGTCTGCTCCTCGATATCAGTCCCTCCGCCACACCCCAGCCGAAATGCCCGCAAACATTTGTGCTCGGCTTCTGTTACTGGCGATATGCAGTGTCGTCGTGAGCGCCAACGTTCCGCCGTGTGCATTTCGGAGCACTGTTCCTAGTGTTTCTTTGAGGAATGCAGCAAGGCCTGGCCTCGTGATGCCTATCGTTGGGCTTGGAACTGGCCATTGCAATCCGGTGGAAGGAGGCGAGTGCATGAACAATGAGACCGCCTACAAAGCCACCTTGGATTTCCTTCGAGCTGGTAAGCTCTGTGTTCGCAACGTCATACAATCATCTACTGTATACTAGTATGATGTTTGTTTTGTTTTTTTTAACAATGCAACACAATATTGTGGAAAGGTCACAACAATATTAAAGATTAAAATGATAATAATAATAAAACGTAGCCTGTAAAATGTCCATGTCCAGTATTTATAATAAAAATAATCTGCTGCAATTTATAGATTCTCACATGCGAGCAACCTGGGCCTCAGCAACAACCAGCTCAGCAGACTCCAGATGCCGAACCGATCGCTCACGGAAAATACCCCGTGAACCCCGCAAACACATGATGCATGATCGCAACAGGGCAAATGAGAGACGGCATCTGATGTAAGATATTACGTGGGAGTACTGCTCCTTCCTCCTTTCCGCTCTCAATAACGCGATTCGGCGATAGGGTGTCGCCGCTCTTCCCATGCCACCACTTGCCGACAGCACAACAGGCATGAACGTCGCATGCTCCACCTCTCTCACTCTCTCTTCATAGCATGGTCGCTTTTCTTTTTCATGGCGCCGATAGACAGTGGTGTGTGTTGCAGATCGATTTGAGCGTGCATGAGGATTAAAAACCCGTATATCAAGTAAAGTACGCTCAAAAGGACTGCCCCACAAACCACTGGCCGCTACATCAAGCCGCGCATGCTCCTCCACAATAGCAGACCTGTATCTCATTCTTTCTCTAGTGAGTGGCTGCAGCAGTGGCTCGATGGAGACATTGTGACAGGTCTCTTGAAGGAGAGAGGCTGTCACATCTCCGATCTCATTATGGCGGATAATGGTAAAACCACCAAGGGGACATGACAAGACATGGTCAATACCATTGTCCTGTCTACAAGAGCAATGAGTTGGTAACCTCGGCGGCATCCAACCATAACGGAGGCACAAGCCGTCCATGAACTCAGCTTTGCTCAGCGAAAAGCCATACTTTTTCAATGGACGGCAAGTCAGCCAACTCGAGGCGCCAGGTTCACGGGCGAGGACAATGGTGTGTCGCAAGGCGTCCGACGCATCATTGCTGATACGCCGTGCCGTCTCTGCCTGGCTATGATGCACTTCCTTCTTCCTCTTCGCCTTCTCCTGCTGGATGCCAATCAGAGAATTCCCAATATCAGAAACACGATCCACGATACGCCGGGAGAGAGATGCTGTGATGGCGACAGACGACTCATACTGGGAGTACAAAGTCATCGGGCTGACCAGGCCCAGGCCACCCAAACGACAGGGCATTGCGAGTACTTCCCTCAACACTGTGCCAGGCGGTGGCCGACCCGTCATTGCTGGTATAAGCTTTGTGCTTATCACGTCCTCCAGTGGCTGAAACTGGGACGGAGAAATAGACTGAACGCGGCATAGGAAAGCCCAGCGACTTCTCAAGCCCGAGACATATGCATAATATGCTGCCTGGGGCTGCGAGCGAGCGAAATCAGCCAATCGAGTTAGCTCATCAGCCCACTCCTGGACCTTAGTCGATACAAAGTTCTCCTTGAAATCAGCTGAGCCGATGGCTGCCCCCAGGTACCGCGCTCCATTACACGTAATGACGACACTAGTGTCGCTGAACAGCTCAACTGCCTCAAGATAGCAACGCTCCTTCACCACCAGAATCGATTTTGATGCATTTGGGAAATATCCATAAGCTGGGCCATCACTTGCCAAGATGTCTCACCAACAACGGAGCCCACGCAACACACTCGCCGCTGCGGAATCATCTGCAAACCAAGACTGGATAGTCCCGGCTTGTTCTACTTTGTGCACGAGAGGCATCATGCCAATGGCATACATGTACATGGCCAGAGGGTCTCCCTGGGTTGTCCCCTCCTCCGACAAGATGCAATCACCGTCGACATAATAGGCATGCAGGCGTGCTGTGCTAGTAATAGTAAACAGGAAATTATGGGAGTGTGTGTTTAGAGTCCCTTGTTTAGACTTTAGTATGGGAAAGGAAGTCAATTCAAGTCATCAAGGTAGATCTACACTGTACATGATGTACCTAGACTCCTACCGTCCCACTCTCCTCCTACTCCTAGCACAGACTTCAGTGTCCTGGAGTCATTGATTACAAAATCTCTCCTTTTCCGGTCAGCAAAGAACAACATTTCGGCGAACTCAGCAATAATACTAATAATAATGTTATAATTTTATGCGCCCTCTGCCCCCCCCCCCCCCCACACACACACAGAGGACTGTGTGTTAACACAAATAATTACTGCATGCCTCGATGGTTATTTACATTTTGGAACTGATTTCTAGCGCCAGCTGTGCCAAACATTTACTATCAAGCAGAAAGTCTGATATCCTAAGTATTGTCAAAAAAAGATTGAAAAGGCGTGGTACAGGGAACATAGATTCTACAGATCTGGGGCAGTGTTGTGCGGCGACTACTGTAATGCTTACTTGAAAACGTCACCATGAGCTGTATTGTAGGCGAGTGGGATAAGCTGGGTCGCTGAACAACAGGATTTAGAGGCCTGCTCACACTACAAACGGTTGACGAAACTGCCAATACTGGGTCGCGTCCACACTAGAACTGTTGTCAAGTATCATTTGTCTGCATGGTTGGTTTTCCAGGTGGACGGCGCATCGACACAGCCATAACGTACCACGACCAAACTGGCATTGGAAAGGCTATCAAGGATAGTGGAGTGGCAAGAGCAGACATCTTCATCACTTCAAAATGCGGACCTGGATTCCCATTGGGCTATCAGGATAGCCTGGATCAAATGCAAGTAAGGCTGCACCCAGAACTTCCTAAAAGAAATTACTTTCGGGCCTGGTCTAAATCTGGCTTTGGATAATTTATTTTTCGTTGCTATCAGGTTCGACCTCATTTTCTCGGTGCTGCGCTGATGAGTCCACAAAGGACAAAACAGTTCTGTCCGCAGATTGAGGGAAAATATTAAATATTCACGGTTTGCGTGAGACACGGCTGGAGACTGAGCGTTCCGCATCCGTAGGAACGCCACCACCCTCAATCAATGCGCAGTTCCTATTCGCTGGGTATTTTCCGTGGGCTCAATTTGAGGAGGAAGTGGGCTGTGCGCATGTAAACCACCCTGCTATGAGCTCGGTATATATATATTATATATGTGAGTACTTGTGCAGTGGTAAGACAGAGAGTCGAGCGCTTGTGCTACAGTCAACTTCGCTAATAACGACTGCGGATATACCGACAATTCGCCAATAACGACAGAATTTCCATGCCCAGCGCAAAGTACTATCTAACTGTAGTACATAATGAGACTTCGGGTATAAGGACACTTCGAGAATAAGGACACTTTTCTGATGCTCCGCCGAGTGTCGTTATATGCAAAGTTGACTGTGCTATATAGCCTTTCTAATTTGATCACACAAATGAATAGCACCATGTCCTAATTTTCTTGGCATATGATCTTGCCTGTTTCACAGACATCACTGAAGCAGTTGGACACGACGTACGTAGACTTAATGTTGATCCACTGGCCAGGACCACCGGGAAATAGCAGTGATCCGGACTGCCAGCCACCGAGCATCAACTACACACTCTGCCGTCTGAACACCTGGAGAGCAATGGAGAAGATCTTCACAGACCTGGGCAGTGCGCACGCCATAGGCGTTTCTAACTATGAGACGCGTCACCTGGACGAGATTGTCCTTACCCCCGGGCTTCTGCACCCCGCTGTGAACCAGGTGGAGTTCCATCCGTACTGGGAGGAGATGGATCTAAAGGCGTAAGTGACATGATCTGTGTGACTCAAGGAGACTAATGCCTGGTTCACACGAGGCCGGTTTAGCGGCCGACATGGACTCGTACGAAAATTCTCGATTTCGGGGCTAAAATTGCCTGATGTGGACCTAGGTGTCGTACAAGTTTCCGACAAATCTGCGGAGAGTTTCTTGTCGTACGAGTGTTTGATCCAGTATCGACTGGTCGATATTTGGCCGAAAAGTCGGCCAGTTTTTAGTGCTTGCACTTGGTGGAGCGGGCTTTCAGCCAGTCAGTGACGGCTTTTCACCATGACAGTGGAGAGGGTCGACCGTGAACTGGCTGCACTGGATCGCTACTCGACGATAGCCTTTTCACACCTTTGGCCTTGTAGCTCGTGTAAAAACTATCTCATTCCCGCTGTGTAGCGTCTACTACGGTCTAGCGCGGCTTTGTACCGCGTGTACGTGTGTAGCAGACAAGGCTACAACTATAGTACGAGCGTACAAGCGAAATCGCCCACCGTTGCGTGTGGACAGCTAGTCCGACTCATCCGACACAATCGGTCGATTTCTTGTCGGAGTCGGTGTGGGAGCATCGGCCGGAAAATCGGCCTAGTGTGAACCTGCTTTGTGTTTTTGGCTGGACCTGGTGCACACTGTAGCAGTCTTTATTTCCATGATGGCCAATTAGGAAATGATGTGTAGAATCATGTGCCCATCATAAGAATTCAATATAATAATAATACTATTCGCGGGATCCGCGTCGGCATCGCTTGAATGTTCAGAAACACACAAACTAGCCTTCGCATCCGCAGGCCACTACTATGCATGTTCACCTTAGTGGCGAATGCAGACCTCACAAGTGAGTCAGGGGAGAGTAGGTTAGTCTCTCAACCAATCGGGCGTGTAACGGCCCATAACCCTGTAAACTGCATCCTTGTTATTCTCACTCCGAGCTGTGAGTACCCAGTTGACCGTGGGTTTCGGCGCAGTTCAACACGCGTAAAAAATCCTTTTATACGCTCCCTGCTACCAGCGCGGGTCTCGAACTCGGGACTCATGATTCGCAGGCAGGCCTGCAAACCAATCGGCCATATGCGTTGGTGACAAGCATTCAATATGAACTCCTGAACTACTTAGGACACAATGGCACGTATTCATCCAAAATGGCGGACGCCCACGCTGCATACATGGTATGGGCACATGTGAGCCACGCTGTGGGGACACTTGTTCGATTCCGCATACAAATGTATACAAATGCGTGGAAAAGAAGTTTCTCTAATCGCTGGAACTTGTGAGTTTCTTTCGATATAGACTACTGGTCCTCAAGGTATACAATAGTAGTGACCCAACGAAGTGGAATTTGCGGAACACAACGTTCGAGACGGCTCAACAAGTCAAGAGTAAAGTGCGAAATTACTATGTACGCAAATGAGAAAACCTACTTGTTTCCCCGCAGCGCTAGTCACGTGCGCCTTCAGTGAATACGTGCCATTTGCATACCGGTATTTACTCCACTCAGTCTGAAAGCGCAGTCCCTTGACTGTCAGGTCTAAAACCTAACCATCCAGTTCCACACTCTTTGGTTGACAAGCTAGGAAGCTGCCGAAATCTCTATTTTAAAATCAGTGCTGATGTGGCCACTTGACTTTGTGCGTTTCCAAAGTCTACAGAGGTGATGCGAATGAGGGCATCACACCTGCTGTGCATGGAGTGCATGGATCGGAAACCTGCGCAAGTTTGTATTGGGTGGTAAACCGTGCTAGTTTGTACTGAAATTGATGACCAAGTTTTATTTAGTGGCAAGCCATACAAGCACGTAACTGTGCTGATTTTGTATGGTAAACTTGCCCTGGACTTTTCAGCCTCTATAGCCCCATGTACTAGTATCTTACATGGGGTTGCACCATTGTGCAATGCACAGCACTGGCATGCACGTGTAACCACCTTGGATTTGCTCGTGTGTGCTCGTCTTGTCAGGTACTGCGACGAACACAACATCACCTTCAACGGCTATTCTCCGCTCGCCGCCAACGACTGGGCGGCCTACTACCACCAGTGGCCGCGCTCACTGCTGAACGAGACCACTCTGACGGAGATCACCGCTGCACACGGGCGGACGCCGGCGCAGGTAGCACTGCGACACCAAGTGCAGCTCGGCCTGGTTATCAACCCACGCAGCCAGAACTTTGCCCACATGAAGGAGAACAATGAAATATTCGACTTTGTCCTGAGCAACGCGGAAATGGACAAGATCACCAACATTCCACCGCCGCCGCAACACCCCAAGGTCTTTGAAGATCCGCATCAAATACCCTGAGTAACACCATCTCTGATGCACAGAATCCAAGCAATGAAATACCATGTGCATTGGGAACACTATTTATTACTCGACGAACACAGATACTTCTCCATTCTTGAGTGTTATGCCATTCCAAGAACGTACCACAGCACATTTTGTGATGGTCTACATATTTTACACATTGTAGATCAACCCATAATCAAGCACAGTAAAATCTGTAACTAAAGACCACTGTGACTAGCGACCAGCCTGGTACTACAGACCCGGGCCACTTCGCCAGGCACGGACGGTCTCACATTCATACATGGTTGTGTGGTGCAAACCTCTAACTAAGGACCACCTGCCACTAGAGACCGCTTTTTCTGGCCCCAACGGGTGGTCGTTAGTCACCGGTTTAACTGTACAGTGTAAATCTATGATACCATACATGAAACAACTGCAGATTGCACACGTGCACCACACTAAGTCACTGGCATTTACAACATTCAGGACGCGGTGTGCAGGTCGGGTTGCAACATGGGAAATTGTCTTTGCTCACATCGATTCCGATCTGTGGCGGACCAAATGTCATAGTTTTGTTATGCTCGGCTACAAGATCGCTGATTACCGTCAGGACTGCCTGAAACTGCTTCAAGGGCAGTGGCTGCCGCTCTTTGGGGTCTCGGGCCAGGTCAAAGAGCAGCGGCGGATCTTGGACTTTAAGGGTTGTTTTACCACGGCAGTCTGCATCTGGATAATCCTCTCCGCAGTGACTGCCCATTGTGTAGAAATGCGCTTTGTACTGATTGAGACGGGCGGCCATCAGGTACTTGCCGCTGTAGTAGAACATGTGATCACGCGGTCCTTGGGGATTAGTACCGGTGATCAGCTCCGTCAGATCGTATCCGTCCAGGGTGACGTTCTCCGGGTTCTTGCCGCCGGCCAGGGAGAGCACAGTGGGGAAGATGTCCAGCGTGCTAGCCACGGCATAGCTCAGCGTGTTCGCCTTGATCACGCCCGGCCACCACATGATTGCGGGCTCTCTCACGCCGCCCTCGTACGTCGTCCCCTTGCCGCACTTGAGCGGACCCTGCTCGCCACCTAGCAGGTCTGACGCCAGCTGCGGTCCGTTATCGGCAGTGAACACGACGAACGTGCGGTTTGCAATGCCCTTCTCCTTGAGAAAGGATAGAATCTCGCCGACATCTCCGTCGAACTGCGCCAGCGCATCTCCAAACAGTCCACGCCGCGTGGTGTTGATGTACTTGCTGGAAGCGAATTGTGGCAGGTGTGTATGGTAGGAGGAGAAGTAGAACAGGAATGGATTGTCGGTGTTATTGTTGATGAAGTCCTTGACATTCTGCACATAGCGTGCATCAATGTTCAGCAGATCTGCGGGCTGCTCCGTTATGGTATAGTTACTGAATACCATGCAGTTGGGTGTCCTCTCCGTGCCATTCACAATCGTCGAGTTGCAGCCTTTCAGATTGAATGGGCATCCCAGGTAGCTGTCGAAGCCGCGGCTGACTGGGTGGTACGGATGCTGTATGCCCAAATGCCACTTTCCAACCATTCCAGAGACGTAGCCGAGCGGCTTCAACGCCTGCGGAATGGTGATCTCCGACAGCAACATGCCCTTGCTGCCCATAGTTCCGAACACTGACATACCGGTCGATTTGTTGTTCTGCGGATCCTGGTACACGCCAGCACGAGGGAAATACCGACCGGTCATCAGGGATGCTCGTGACGGTGAGCACACAGGGGCTGCGCTGTAGAATTGAGTGAAACGCATTCCTTCCCTGGCCATTTGGTCAAGGTTCGGCGTCCTGGATGTCGGATGGCCGTCCATGTTGCTATCGCCGTATCCCATATCATCTCCGAACAGAATGATAAAGTTTGGTTTCTCTGGCAGCGCATCTCGGCTATTTTTATTTGGCTGCTCCTCTTCTAGGCTTTGATCCGCGCCGCGAAGGTCCAATCCTTCACTCGGACTAGCAGCCGGTTCTTTTCTGTAGTGTGCTCCCTCGCACGCATACCAACCCGCGACGAACAGGATAGCGAGCAAGGTCACGAAGCGTTCATTCATGATTGAAGGTTCCGTCAGACCACAAGTAGTTAGACCCAGGTAATCGTGTGCCTGGTTAGACCTTCGAGAGGACTTACTGACTTCTCCTCCTCACGATTCAGTGTGTCACCACGGAGAAGGTTGATGAAAAAAAGTAAATAAAAAAGGAGAACGGAGAAGGCTGATGTCTTTCATGAAAAACATTTGTTCATTCATCATCAAGATCATCAAGATCATGGTCATACTAGCCTGTACTAGATCTACTCTGTAGCATAGCAGTGGAACCGATATTATGGGTTGGAACTAATACTTGCAGCCGTAAAAATAAAATGCAGGTCTTGCCTGAGCCTGAGGCAGTGAGCGTCTGGTGATCATGGTGATGCCAATGAATAGGCTTGAAAGTGATGACGTCAAAAACGGCCAGGGAGTACTAAGTTGACATCAGATTTCTATTTTGGATCCACTAAGGTGTGACTTTGCTATTGCCTCAGTATGTGGGTGCATAGCAACCCACTCATGTCGTATGCAGGGGTGACTTTTACTTCGCCACCAGTTGTAACCCCGCCCCCAGTAGCCAAATCAGTCAGTTTCACTGGCTACATCACATTCCTGTGAGTAAGACCGCTTGAAATGCGCTTGGATCCATACAAAAACTGGATCCAAGTGGATCTAGTTTTTGAATTTTTGAAATTGTTGCTATGCTGTGACGTAGCACTTTCAAGCCCTAGGCTATGGGGCTCAACCGCTAGCTTGCTGTACACTAAGCTGTGCAGATTATGTTTTTTATTTTATTTTATTTTTATTTTACAAAAAAACACACACCATTATTTTGACGGCACAAAGCAGCAAGGCATGGCAGCGATGAGACATAATGTGATATGGAATGGCAGGAGTGGGGGAGAGGCAGGGGCAGCTTGACCGACCATAGCCTAGGGTCTCGGCTTCATTGAAACCCAGCGCTCCACAAAAACAAAAAATACAGAAAATACGCAGGTAGATAACTGGGTCAGAGCTTGAAAGTGATGACGTCAAAACGGCCAGGGAGTAGTAAGTTGATATCAGATTTCTATTTTTGGATCCACTAAGGTGTGACTTTGCTATAGGGCTTGAAAGTGCTACGTCACTCCATAGCAATGGCATAGCAACAATTTGAAAAATTCGAAAACTGGATCCACCTGGATCCAGTTTTTGTATGGATCCAAGCACATTTCAAGCGGTCTCACTCACAGCAAGGTGATGTTGCCAGTGAAACTGACTGATTTGGCTAGTGGGGGCGGGGTGACAACTGGTGGCGAAGTAAAAGTTGCACCTGCATACGACATGAGTGGGTTGCTATGCACCCACATACTGAGGCAATAGCAAAGTCACACCTTAGTGGATCCAAAATAGAAATCTGATGTCAATTTACTACTCCCAGGCCGTTTTTGACGTCATCACTTTCAAGCCCTATTGCCTAAGTATGTGGGTGCATAGCAACCCACTCATGTCGCATGCAGGTGTGACTTTTATTTCGCCTCCAGTTGTAACTCCGCCCCCAGTAGCCAAATCAGTCAGTTTCACTGGCTACATCACCATGCTGTGGGTAAGACCGCTTGAAATGTGCTTGGATCCATACAAAAACTGGATCCCAGTGGATCCAGTTTTTTATTGTTGCTATGCTGTGACGTAGCACTTTCAAGCCCTATTACGGGGAAAAGTATGCACAGTAAAAGTTATCAGAGAGTCAA